AAAGTAAGTCAAACTTTGTGCAGTCATGGGCAATCCTGGTAGCCCTGAATCATCAAACAATTATAGTATCGAACCACCAGATGGAGGATATGGATGGTTCATTGCGTTCGCCGGCTTCATAGTGTATGTTCTTATCGGGGGCGGTTTCTTCTCATTTGGTGTGCTGTATGTGTCATTATTAGATGCATTTGGTGCATCCAAAGCAGATACAGGTACGATTTGAAAGTTATTTTTACTACCTCTGATATAATTACTACCCAATGTAATACTGTTACAATTGAGCTTGTCCCTCAATGTATTCATTTACAGAAAATGTTACTTTAAACGGCGGTGGTCGTCGCGCTGTGGTAGTGCGACATTTGTGTTGATAAACATGGATTTTCCCACAATCCAATTCACTATTTTAATAGAAATCACCAGTTAGAGGTTTTACCTGGGTGCGATTTGCATTAATTACTGCCGATGACTCCTTCGATACCTTTCCAATCACCAAAAAAATACGTAATTAAAGCTTGGTAACGTCCCATTTGTACTCGTTGATCTGCACTACAGTCGCCATCTTTGTTTATATAAACCATGCGATAGATATTCCATCGATATCTTAATTTCTAATCATATTTCAATAAAATTTGGTACATTGATGGTATGTGACATTGTGCGCCCCTTATTAGTTTTACCTCACTATCTCTGTATATTAATCACCTGATTTGCATAACAATTGTCAATATCTCAAGTATTCGGCTTTTGATCAATTTTTTAACATTCACATAATGAAACTTGGTACATATGTGTTCTGGAATAATACACAGACCGAATTAGTTTGGAGTTGAAATATAAGCATGATAATTGCTCAATTTGCAGACGTGATTAGTTTAGCCAATTGTTGATATCTCAAAAAATCAGATTTAAATTTAACTTGCGGTAGAGATGCTCTAGACAGAATAAATTAGACTTAAAACACAGATGTAAAATCAAATGTATTTTCTGTAAGTATTATAAACTTTAATAATGTGGATTACATTGTTTCACGTTGTACATCTCAAATAGCAGACAAATATTAGTTGCCATGTTTCATGTTTGTACGGCTAACTAATTTATATTAGTATGTCTCTAATAATCTCAGCGTACTGAAGTTCTTTCTAAGCTTTCTTTCCCTCATGGAGGGCGGTGTGAATAAATTTCTGGAAAATGAGAAACGAAATACAGAAGTCATGGCATTGTTCAGGAAGGTTAAGCATAAAAAACAGGACACAATTAATCAACCTATAAATGCAAGTCCTATAGAATCATCACCAGTCACAAGTGAATTTAGTTTCTACTGCTACCTTCCTGTCGTTAATATCGGGCAACCTAGCTTTATGAAGTGGATCATACTGGCCGCTTTTGAACTTCCTTGGAGTGAAAATATCCTGACTTGGTGTTGATAGCACACCATGTAACTCAACATATTTGCAGGATGTTTGATAACGTGGAAAGGCAATTCTAAACTTTAGAACCCAGACAGTCTTTTAAAACCCACACTAAATGTCAAGAGACTGTTGTGTGTGACAAAAGTACCCTGCAGCACTGCGTTGTCATGGGATTCACTCGCAATAACTCGCTCGCTTAGATGTTTATGTTACCTCTCATTTTTCAATGTATCGTAACTGGTGGTACAACAAACACAATGATGTTGCTGATTGCTGGGTTTGAAATCGTTCAGACAATTACTATACAATCCACATATTATTGCAACGCTTGCTGATCGAACAAGAAGACAGTATTCCTCATTGCTTTAGACCCTGGCAGGATATGTAAGTGTAGGCTTTGTCATATGGCGATACTCTGACACAGTTCACTGTGGAATAATGTTGAATAAAAACCAAAGGATTATACGACGCTGCGCCTAATACATTCTAACTGTAGTGAAATTATTGACCACTGATAATATGTTAAGTTATTATTAGACTCAAAGTAGATTTTCACTTTTAACAGCATTGGTAGGATCTCTGTCGTGTGGTATGGGGATTATCGGCCATGGTATATCAATGGCTTTATGCGGTCGATTTGGACATCGAAAGATTCTGATTGTGTCTGGGATCTGTTCTTCGATGGGCTACGTAGTATGTTCTTTTACAACATCATTGCAACAAATATATGTTGTGTATGGATTATTTATCAGTAAGTGTTCTTTCTCATTGATCATCTTTATAGTAGATTTACTCACTAGTTTCAATACATTCAGGAGCTTACCATTAATGTAAAACACATTCTTACACATTTCACCTTCAAATCCCAATGCGTCTGCAATCGACTTACATGCAGGTGTGAGGACATGTGTCTGAGGGAGGGGCGTTGATTAGCTAGGCACTTTATATTGTGCTTCTATGGAAAAACTGTTATCATTAAATTATGTTTCCTTGACATTTTAGGTTTTATGTATTGGATTACATCTTTTCCTGCAATATCTATGATTCGTAAATACTTTTCAAAGAAAATGCCAATAGCGGTAGGACTGGCTCTGTCAGGAACTGGTGCAGGGCAATGTATATTTTCCGTCTTGATACAGATTTTCCTTGACAGTTATGGATGGCGGGGAACGCTGATTATGCTTGGGGGAATTTCTTTACATTTCTGCTTAGTAGGGGCGTTATTTAGACCTATAGAACATTATCTCCGATCGCCTGCTCAATACACCGAAATAGCAGAGGACAAACCAGAGAATCAAGAGACCTCTACGGCTCTACATGTATCCAACTCGCATTCAAATACTGATTACTGTGTTCGTCCACTTAGTAACACAGCTCAGCCAACTGAGATAACACCGAAGAAGAAAACCATTAAAGGTTGTTTCATTACTGGTTTGAACAATATTCACACTCTATTCAAGGCAATGTGTGACCTCTCACTTTTCAGGAATATTGTTTTTGTATTGATGACACTATCCGTACTAGGCCATGCATTGGCACACTATATAGTTATTGTTCACATGGTAAATATTACAAAGTTAAACTAAGAATAATTCAAAAAAAGACTAAACTTGATTCATCATAACTCGTTATAAATGGTCTCCCAATCCACTGTACAACTACGAGGGGATTTCTTATTTCCAGTTTACATACATTTATAACCAGAATAATTGATGTCTAAAAGCACACTATGTTATTATATTGGAGATTGTCAAACTTGGTAATCCCAGTAAAAGAAAAAATATTATAAGATATTATTTTATTTTTAATAATGAATTAAATTTGTTGTAACTCATTTCGCTGTCTACTGCATAAACTTCATTGCATTTTAACATACTACAAATTTGTTAGCAGTCGTGTCGTGTAAATATAACAGAATTGGATTTTGTTTTGTTCATTGCATGATCCGTTCACACTCTGAATATAGTGAAAAATAGGCCAGTAGATTCTAATTTTGCATATCATTATCTTACGGTATACGATTTTCTTCTGTAGGTCAAACGTGCCAGGGATTATGGAATCCCCAGTTTCAAAAGTTCGAGTTTACCAGCAATCATGGGTCTCACCCAATTCTTTGGTAGAATATTCTGGGGAGTTGGAGGAAGTCTTCTAAAAGTTAAACCTCATATATTGTACGGCAGTGGCATGATTATTTCTGGGATGGCAACAGTGGTTAGTATCCATAGCAAGACGTATGAAGGTTCGTAGAAAATACATTATTGCATCTTTAGATTCGCATGTACTGAATAAGACATGTAAGCTCACGCATATACATACAGCGAACCTAAATAGGAGAACTAGAAAATGTGTGTACTGTAAATTGTTGTTTTTCCATGATTTACAATATCCACTTATGTTTATATCTCATAGGGCAAATAGCGTTTGCTGTTATATTTGGCATTGGTATGGCGTGTTATATTCCCATGATGCCTGTTGTCTTACATTACTTTTTTCCTCTGAGATACGACTATGCTCTTT